AGAGCTAACTTTGTTCTTCTTCATCTTTCTGTGCCCTATGGTCCAATTGCCCTCACCATCACTGAAAAAATATGTAAATGATATCTCTGAGGTCAAAATACAAAGGGTTAAAATGTTCCCCAAGGGTTAAAATGAACCCTCAGTGCCTCACCTTCTCCTCTTCCTAAGTGTGACTTTGTTCACTCTTCCATCTGACCTTGATCCACTGAAAACTAGAAAGTTGTTGACATTTGCGAAATTTGATCAAATTAGGGCTAACAGCAGGTTAAAGGAAAATAAGATTCTTGAGAGCAAAAAACCACATTGGCCTTTTTCTTCCTTAGAGTTTCTGGGCCTGGGTCCTGGAACAAAGTAGTCTCGTTAATACATGTTTATAGAATACATTAACAAATGTATAAACAAATTTTTAAAAACCTGTTAATTCCTGGACTCCATGAGTTATGTTAATGGGAAAAATCTCTTGAGATTCTACATTTTTTTAAATCTGCAAACCATGCTCTCATTGTTATATTACTGAGAAACTCAATACAAAGGCACTTCATTTTGACTTAACATTATTTTGCTACAACTAGCTTTAGATTATTTCTCCCAATAAATGGAATATTGCAGAAATGACAGTTCCGTGTGCTTTCTTCTAAACCACTTATTTGACTGATGTTCCATGAATTTTCAATTCTTTACATACAGTGTAACACAAAGACAATCATAATCTCCTCTCACCCCTTCTTGCTTCAACCAGAGATCCATTGGCTTGTTTTGTGATATGTGCTGAACCCCTCTTTTGCTTTCTCCCTACCCAAAGGCAGCCCTTTTATAGGCTGAGATGAACAATTCAGATTCTCTCTTTTGAAAGGTCAAGCTAAGAAACCCAAACTGAGTTGTATGATCTCGTATTAAAGATTCTCGAGCTAAGTAGTAACATGCTTTTGGTCTGTGCTTCAGAGAGATGGATGTAGGTGAGCTGTGTCTGGGGAAGGGAGGAAGGTATAAGCCTGTTTGAAGTCAATTACAATAAGCAGGGGAAAAGGTAAGGAGAACCATCAGGTACCTGCTATGGAAATAAACTGAACAAAAGAGGGTGTTGGTGGAAACAGGAACAATCAAAGACATAGGAGTCCAATCTGTGTGGCTGCAGGGGACACTGAGGCCTTTAATAAGCAGAGAAACCACAGAAAGCGGTGGCCCTTTAAGCATCTAGATGTTCAGCAGGCAACTTAAAATTGATAATCCAAACAAGTTTCCCTTTGTGACTTAATATAAGATCTATAAAAAATTATACTGTATTAACAGTTTGGTAGGAAAGCAATATAATGACATTTCCAAAGAGTGTAAGATAAAGATGAAGACAAAAAAAAACCCTACTTATAATTCCACTGTTACTGTTTTGATGTACTTTTTCCCTCAGTCTTTTTTTATGATGTATTAACAGTTTGGTAGGAAAGCAATATAATGACATTTCCAAAGAGTGTAAGATAAAAATGAAGACAAAAAGAAAACCCTACTTATAATTCCACTGTTACTGTTTTGATGTACTTTTTTCCTCAGTCTTTTTTATGATGTTTTTATGATGTTTTGTTAGATTGCTTTTCAATAAAAATTTTTATTTTGATAAGCCA